CAACCTTGACGAGGCCCAGGACAAGATGAGATCATTTCCACTGACATTAGCACGGCGGGTGAATCAAACTGAGGTTGGCGAATTCGCCGCGACGCGGCCTCGCTCTGCTTTCAAACCACGCCGCCCGCCCGGGGGAGGTCTTTAACATCCAAGCGTGAGCGAAGCAGGAGGGGCATCGTCTTTTTTACGGTCAAATACACCCGGGCTGTATTAACCAGGGCGGACGCCGGGCTCGAACCAAATTGCCACCGTGGGCTCCAGTTAAAAAATTAAACTATTTTTCATTTTACCAGGTCGAAGGGCCCCACTGAGCTATGTAGCCTTTTATCCAGAAGCGACCTGGCTATCACAAATGATAGCTCATCGAAGTTGCTTATCTTCGCGTGGAAATATATAGCGGCCAAATACTCTGAACACACATTGTTGATTCTAAATGTGGAGGGGCAAGCTCGACCTGGAGAAAAATCCACGCGACCACGGGGAGAGAGACACCCGAATACAGCAGCAGCAGGCGTCAGGGTCGGCATCGAACCCACGACCTCCTGTACACCAGGTGAGGTAGTTAACATCTCACCACCGTGGATGCTGTTGATCTCGTGTGGGTCGACGTCGCACAGCAGCAACAGCGCCCCACCCCCCTCTACTGGCAGCCTCCTGTACCCGCCTGTGAAGCATAGCGCCCTCTTTCGGGATAGCCTTGCGCTGCAGAAATTACAACAGCGGAGATTACAATCGCTTCCGCGATAAGCCATAGATGTGTGTAAAGTACGTTCTAACCGCTGCATCATTGTCCACGATTGTGAAGTGATTTTAACAGAGTAAATGTCCGTGTTTGACGTACGCCGTTGTGTGTGTGCCTCTCCAAACTCCACAACACGGGCAAGCCACTCGCCACCCGCCATGACACACGTGGCGCTCCGCTCGTCACGTGGCCGCGACACTCGCTGCGCCCACCCCCCCTCACCCCCCTCACTCGCCACGTGGCCGCGACACTCGCTGCACACACCCCTCACATCACTCGCCACTGCCGCGAAACGCTCCCCTGTGTCCATCGGCAGCAGCAGGACTCTGCTGCACACACACAGCAGAGTCCTGCTGCACACATACACATCTCTGTGTGTGTGTGCAGCAGGACTCTGCTGCTGCTGCAGCTGCAGCCTCGAGACTCTGTTGAGGATTTCCCGGCTCTCGTCTGATTCGAGTAACGCGCGCGCGCTCTCTCTCGAGTGCTGCCGGCCGAGTCAACAACAAGGTGGTGGCCTTAGTAAGGAGGACGTGAGTCTGTACCCTATGTTGGACTTAGTAATGAGGACGTGAGTCTGTACACTATGTTGGACTTAGTAAGGAGGACGTGAGTCTGTACACTATGTTGGACTTAGTAAGAAGGACGTGAGTCTGTACCCTGTGTTGAACTTAGTAAGGAGGACGTGCATCTGTACCCTATGTTGGACTTAGTAAGGAGGACGTGAGTCTGTACCTTATGTTGAACTTAGTAAGGAGGACGTGAGTGTATCCTATGTTGGACTTGGTAATGAGGACGTGAGTCTGTACCCTATGTTGGACTTAGTAAGGAGGACGTGAGTCTGTACCTTATGTTGAACTTAGTAAGGAGGACGTGAGTCTGTACACTATGTTGGACTTAGTAAGGAGGACGTGAGTCTGTACCCTGTGTTGAACTTAGTAAGGAGGACGTGCATCTGTACCCTATGTTGGACTTAGTAAGGAGGACGTGAGTCTGTACCTTATGTTGAACTTAGTAAGGAGGACGTGAGTGTATCCTATGTTGGACTTGGTAATGAGGACGTGAGTCTGTACCCTATGTTGGACTTAGTAAGGAGGACGTGAGTCTGTACCTTATGTTGAACTTAGTAAGGAGGACGTGAGTCTGTACACTATGTTGGACTTAGTAAGAAGGACGTGAGTCTGTACACTATGTTGGACTTAGTAAGGAGGACGTGAGTCTGTACCCTATGTTGGACTTAGTAAGGAGGACGTGAGTCTGTACCCTGTGTTGGACTACTTTCGCACCGTACGTAGCCTACCGTGCTCATCGGAGGTGCGGGGCAAGGACAACAAACTAAACACAAGAAGTCAGTTCTAAAGAAACGAGGCTTTGTTCATCTCCATGATTTACAAGTGCACAGCACCGGTGGCTTCCTATCTGAAGAGCGTTCCAGGCGGCCGCATCAACATCGTCAACATCATCATCACCGCCATCGTGTATGCAGGTACCTCCTCAACATCATCACTGCCATCGTGTGTGCAGGCACCTCCTCAACAACAACATCACCGCCATCGTGTATGCAGGCACCTCAACATCATCACCGCCATCGTGTATGCAGGCACCTCAACATCATCACTGCCATCGTGTATGCAGGCACCTCAACATCATCATCACTGCCATCGTGTATGCAGGCACCTCCTCAACAACATCATCATCATTGCCATCGTGTATGCAGGCACCTCAACAACATCATCATCACTGCCATCGTGTTTGCAGGTACCTCAACATCATCATCACTGCCATCGTGTATGCAGGCACCTCCTCATCACCATCATCACCGCCATCGTGTATGCAGGCACCTCCTCAACATCATCACCGCCATCGTGTATGCAGGTACCTCCTCAACATAATCATCATCACTGCCATCGTGTATGCAGGCACCTCAACATCATCATCACTGCCATCGTGTATGCAGGCACCTCCTCAACATCATCATCACTGCCATCGTGTATGCAGGTACCTCCTCAACATCATCATCACCGCCATCGTGTATGCAGGCACCTCAACATCATCATCACTGCCATCGTGTATGCAGGCACCTCCTCAACATCATCATCACTGCCATCGTGTATGCAGGCACCTCCTCAACATCATCATCATCACCGCCATCGTGTATGCAGGCACCTCAACATCATCATCATCACCGCCATCGTGTATGCAGGCACCTCAACATCATCATCACCACTGCCATCGTGTATGCAGGTAGAACTTCTGTCGCACAGAGCCAACCTCGCCCATTAGAGGTGCGGGAAGGACAACAAACGAAACAGCAGCAGCAGCAGGTCTCAAGAGATGAGTTTTGTCAATTTAGCAGCTCAGCTCCAGCGGTTTCCCCACGCCGTGGGGCCCTGAGGGCGGTGTGGGCTGAGGGGGCCACCCACTGAATCGGGAGACAACAATCTTCAAATCAAGATTGAGGCAACGATCTTCAAGTCAAGATTGAGGCAACAATCTTCAAATCAAGATTGAGGCAACAATCTTGAACAATCTTCAAATCAAGATTGAGGCAACAATCTTCAAATCAAGATTGAGGCAACAATCTTCAAATCAAGATTGAGGCAACAATCTTCAAATCAAGATTGAGGCAACAATCTGCCCCCCCCCCACCTCGGTACGTTCGCTTGACGCACCCCCCCAAGGATGAATACTATCAACGTGTTTAAGCAAACAAGACTATCCAACTCATCTGAAGGCCACAGTAGACAAATTATTGTCGAGGCTTCACCCTCCCCCCCGTTCCCTATGCGCACACTGCCAGTAGACCCCCCCCCCCCTCCATAGGCAAGCGAACGCGTCTGAGTTACCCCCTCCATGCGTACTAAACGGATGGCCCCCTACTTGACCATACTTCACCACGCTGGTCGGTGCGGTCTGGCGCAGGAAGAGGCGAGCGTGGATGGGACCACGGCTCCCTTTGGGATTCTCAGTGGGGAGGCCCTCATCCAGCAGTGGATTGACACGAGGGGCTTAAATTCAAGTTGTCAATGGCAGTGAGGCGAACCGACTATAACGCACCTTTATTAATATTGTATTCCAGTTAATTGTTTATAAATACATTCATATTCAGTCGTGAATAATTAAAGCCGATGTCTAAATCGTGCTAAACGATATATTAACTTAATACAAAGGTATGCTAATGTTAAGGACTACACTTTCCACATTCACGATTTCACACTATACACGGTGTTATTTAATGGTATACATTTTGACAATAAGGTACATTTGTGGCTGAGTAGACCTAGACGTCGCTTTATAAGGCACTGCCAAGTTGGTCGTTACACGCTCACAGCATCGCCGCTCACCAAAACGAGACACAAAAACCACAGCGGAATACCGAGAAAGTCAGAAAGCCTCAGACACAATCACAGACTCAAGACACACAGAGACACAGACACACACAGACTCGGACACACAGAGACTCAGACACACACACAGACAGACTCAGAGACACAGACTCAGACTAATCACAGACTCAGACACAATCACAGATTCCGACAGAGACACAATCACAGACTCAGACAGAGACACAGACTCAGACACACACAGAGACACAGACTCAGACACACACAGAGACAGACTCAGACACACAGAGACAGACACAGACTCAGAGACACACAGAGACTCAGAGACACACAGAGACTCAGACACACAGAGACACAGACTCAGACACACAGAGACACAGACTCAGACACACACAGAGACATAGACTCAGACAGACAGACTCAGAGACAGACAGACTCAGAGACACACAGACTCAGACACACACAGAGACTCAGACACACACAGATACTCAGACACACAGAGACTCAGACACAGAGACTCAGACACACAGAGACAGACTCAGACACACACAGAGACAGACTCAGACACACACAGACTCAGACACAATCACAGACTCAGACACACAGAGACACACTCAGACACAATCACAGACTCAGACACACAGAGACACAGACTCAGACACAGAGGCACAGACTCAGAGACAGACACAGAGGCACAGACTCAGAGACAGACACAGACTCAGAGACAGACTCAGAGACAGACACAGACTCAGAGACACACAGAGACTCAGAGACACAGACACTCAGACACACGTAGAGACACAGATACACACAGATTCAGACACACGTACAGACACTCAAGACACTCACAGAGACGCACATTGACAAAGATCCCCTCTTATAACGTGATCACTGTTGGGGCAAGTGCTGCTAGGAAGCACTTAGAAAGGCCGGCACGGTACACGTGGTGGGTGCCCGGTGCGACGCCAAGCCGCCTTTGTCTCCCCGGTGGCGATGTTTACTACACACCGCACTAGGTACTCATTTGAGGCCGAGTCGACCTAGGCGAGGCCCAGGACCGGTTCAGATAATCGGCCCCCATAGCGGCCATGACACGGGGACGGTGAACTTGGGCCGCGCGTGACGTCACGTGACCCGCGACACCGGAAGCTCGCGAAAGGGGCGGGACCCAAGCGGAATCTCGGACTGTGACATCACCGTGACGCGAAAGACCGACATCCGGTTTCGTGGCTCGTGCGCTCAGTGTTGGGAAGACCGCGTGGAGGAGGCGGAAGTCAGCAGCTGGAGCCACTCCGAGCGGACACTCGAACAGGTGGGAGCGGCAGAGTTCGTGACGAGTTCAACTTGGTCACACTCGGCAGCTTGATGTGGTAACAGTGCGAGTTATGATGTCGGCTTGTACTGATGGTGTGGGTCCGTGTTGATGTGGGTCTGTTTAATAATGTGGGTCCGTGTTGATGTGGGTCTGTTGATGCGAGTTGGTGTTAATAATGCGAGTCTGTGTTGATGATGTCAGTTTGTATTGATGGTGTGGGTCTGTGTTGATTATGTGAGTCCATTTTGATGTGGTTTTCTGTTTATGTGGTCCGTGTTGATATGAGTTTGTGTTGGTGTAAGTTTGTGTTGATGATGCAAGCATGTGTTGATGTGGGTTTGTGTTGATGTTGAGTCCGTGTTGATTTGGATCCATGTTGATGTGTGTTGATTATGTGGGTCTGTTGATTATGTCTATCCGTGTTGATGTGGGTTTGCGTTATGTGGGTCTGTTCGATGTGGGTTTGTGTTATGCGAGTTCGTGTTGATGTATGTCCGTTTTGACGATGTGCGTTCGTGTTGGGGCTGTGGTTAAGTCAGGGGACAGAGACGGGGGAACATAGAAGTGCAGTACAATTATAGATTTTGCTGCACTGCCGCACCCCTCACTCATCCCACTCACCCCTCATTCAACCTCCAGTGGTAGCTATCTCTCCAGGGAACAAGGTGGCTCAGCAGTCGGCCTGCAAGTGGCCATTAGTCTGCCAGCTGAGGGCGATGTGCAATCCCAATTGAGGCATTATAAAATTTTTTTTTCACGATTTCGAGATGTAAATCACATGGTGAGCAAAGATCTCGTCCCACATCCTAGACTGTGCATGACCCTACACTCGTCTCCCGCTTTCCTCACAGAGACCTAGACGGTGTGAGACGCAAAACACTCTGGTAGTCCTGCTCTACACGTCGCCAACATGGAGGTATGGGCTCAACTCGCGTGGTGAAGTATGGGCGAACATTTGATTCACATGCCTGTGTTCTCCACTCTCTATCCGTGTACCTACTCCTCACCATTTCTACCTTGGTGTGTGTCTGCTTGCCTGCCTGCCTGTGTGTGTCTAAGCGTTTAACACGTCGCCTTTTGTTACCAAGGGGCCGTCCATAAATGACGTCACGCACCTAGGGTGGGGGGGGGGTCATACGTTTGTGACGATGTGTGACGAGGGGGGGGGGGGTTTGAGAAATGTGACGTCACATCAAAATGCGCAACTTTAAATAAATACAGACAACACGTTCTACTTAATTAAATAGACTTTTTAATAAATGTTTTCTCCTTCAACATCAGGGTGCAGCGCAACATTAAATACGCACTACAATGACAATAGTTTAAAGCGATATGAAGCATGTTTTATTTCGGGGGGGGGGGGGGGGGGCAGAGCTTTGTGACGTCATATTTGAGGGGGGGGGGGGGTTCGACTTTTTGTGACACCGTGCGACGTCATTTATGAACGGCCCCCAATATCATCCATAACAGGTTTTCTTAGATCGCGTAAATATAAATGTCGTTAAATCCGCCACCACCAGACAGCCAATTGGTAAGGTTTGTCACGTAAACAGAACATTCCAATTCGTTACTAGTACAGCACACCGGTTGTGTGTTGGAGAGCCAAGCCACAACATTTTCAATCGGACTACGACGTTTCGCCAGTAATTACAACTAGCTTCATCAAGCAACAGCCAGATTTGTGGCTGCATTTGCCCAGTTTGTTAAAGTCTATATTGTGGAATTGTCTTTGTGTGTGTAGATGAGCCGATGTACCAAGAGAAAAAGGAAATGCGTGAGATGGAGTGCGCTCTCAGACTCAAAAGGAGGAGCCTCTATCAAGTGCAAAACCCCGCAAGGTAATACAAATAATGGAGATTATCACATCGGCCATGTTGCATGGGGGTCATCTTCATCACGGTGGCAATGTTGTATGGAAATGTCACATCAGCCATGGTGGCGTGGGGGCATCAAGGCGGCAATGTTGCATGTAGGATGTCATGGTTGTCATGTTCTATAGGTGACTTCAAGTCAGCCATATTGCATGGGTGACATTGTGCTGGTTGTGTTGTATAGGTGATGTGTGAAGTTGCCTATTTGTGCATGGGGGACATCACATCAGCCATGTTGATTGGGGGACATCAAGGCGGCCAAGTTGCATGGACACCTGATTTTGCTTTCAGCTGATCGGCAGCTGATTGGCTTGTGCAGTGGAAGTGATGATGTAATACCTAGCAGCCATTCTTATAGAAGTTACCATTTTACTACAACTCCCATATTTACTTTAGTCTGTTTTCTCTTTCGATTTCTGCCAGACTTACGACAAAATAATGATTTTCTTCCCTTTGGCCCAATGTGCTATGCATATGGCATCTAAACTTTGGGCGGCAGGCTGTGGTAACATTTGTGTCTCACAGTAAGAATAACCTGGCTTTGATTCCCGACTCGGGTGCCTTTGCTTGTAGAGTTTGTATGTCCTCCACCTGTTCTGCATGGGTTTCCTCAAGGGTATCCACTTTTCTCGCGTGAAAAAAACTGAGGAGTCAAACATCCCAAGACTAAACAATTGTCTGACATTATTCAGTTGGGATTACACCATTATTGTAATAATTCAGCAATAACCTCTTGAAAAAGAGTATTGAGACTCAGCAAGGTTGTCCTTGGTGAATCTGCTTCTGTTCCTCCCTTAAAACCCATCTCCTCTTCTTCCTTGTCCACCCTCTGCTACTCCCTGCCCTCACCCCCAGCTACAACCAGGCCTACCTCAACCCCTATCACCACACCTACCCCTATCACTACCCCTACTGCTCCTCCCCAACCCCTGATACCCAGCTAAGACCAAGCAAACGCTAACCCCTCCTTTACCTTTCCCTCCTGTTCTCCTGTCACCATAACTACACCACTTTTAATAACCCCACTCTTTATCTCAACTGCCATCATCTTATACACAATGTTATAATTACTTGTAATGCACCTTGTAATAAGGCGTGATATAAATCTAACATAAGAAACAAAGGTAGTAATAATAGTTAATACATTTTTGTCATTTCTGCAGAAATCATGCAGCTCTACGGCAGCTACCTGACCCTCAGGGAGCAAAGAGAACTCTTGGCCATGCAGGAGATATGGTACCTTGGGCTCCAAAATCAGGCCCGGGGCAAGTACAACAATGGCTACGAAGACGACAAACACTGTTATGTTCCGGTAAGACTCACGACAAAATACTTGCCTTGCCGGCGATGCCATGGCTTGGTGGCCGTAGGTTCGCTGCTCATTGCAAAAGTTTGCGATTTGGATGCGGCAGGCCACCCTGGTTATTACTTCGGGTGTCATCATCGTCGTCATCACATTCAACATAATCAATCACAGTGACATCACAGGATCATCGAAAGCAGCGTTATCGTGCACACCATCATCATCCACTGTCATCACACACGGTGCTGTCACGCACGATGTAACTGGTATTAGCCAAAAATCTCAATGCTGAAAAAAAAAAACCTGCATACATGCAGTTGGTATTTCATGTTGTCTGCTGGGCCAAGTCGCCCTTGAAAAAAGTTTCTTCATTCAATGGACTTTAAACTTGATTTGAAGCTTCCGTGACTGCAGGAATTACTCATTGGTTCTTTCGGTAAAGTCACGTAGAAATAAAATTAATATAATACGACGTTTCGATTGCAACACAAGCAACCATCATCAGGTGTGAAAGAATGCAAGCTCGGAGAGAGACACACATACAGAGAGACAAACACAGACACGGAGAGAGAAAGACAAACATAGACACACACAGAGAAACAACGCCTCTGTGACGAGGCATTATATAGAGGGGGGGGTGGGCCAGAGAAATAAGCAAGTCAATGAGAGCGGCAGGGTGAGTGAACGGAGTAAACGGCAGGGGGAGATAATTTGGGAGTTTGAGAACCAACCTAGTAAACTTAGAAATGTAATGCAATGCAACACAGAGAGTCGGCTAACACAGCAGTTAACACATTACCTGGTTGATTACGTTCTTACAAAGATTGCTAATGGGCTTTACTCGGGAAATACACATGATTCTGAAAGCAGCATTGCCATGACTTTTCAGAACGGTTCTGACAATTTCTCTCGGCGTTCTGCGTGGTTGCCGTGTGTAATACCAATTGAGTAATTTGTAGGTAAGTTTTCAGCAGTTACAATGTGAGTGTTTATGAGCTATGGGCGGACACCAGAGAACCAGGAGGAAAGCCATGCAGAACAGGAGAACCAGCATACAAACTCTACACACTCCTAATTTGCTAGAGGGGTAGAACATACCATCTCCACACAAAAAAAGGGACTAAGCTGGGAATTTAACCCAGGCCCTTCTTGCTGTGTGCCACAAGTGTGGGCAACATGGTTATCGAGCACAGCAGACAAGCCTACCAAGTCTTGTTTTTACCCTTCACATAGGACTGACAAAGCGAGGCTATTTCTATATCTGGTGCTCTCTCACTCCCATGGATTACATCTCTTTATGTTCATATTCTTTGGGTCTTTCAGTAAAGTCTCGTAGATAGAACAATAAAATAAAGACCTAAAGAATATGAATTCCTGCAGTCACGAAAGCTTTAAGTCAAGATCTCTTTGTTGTCTTACGAGCACTCAATTAGCAGTGATTGAATGAGCCTCGATTGAATCGGTACTTAACCACTGTGATTGTTGCGCAGGTAAAACAGGAGCACCTAAATTTTCGGTATGAGGTGCTGAAGACAATTGGGGAGGGCGGTCAAGGCATAGTGGTCAAGTGTCTTGACCACATGACAAACATCCTGGTGGCGGTGAAAATACACGGAACTCCATTGAGGTAAGACCCCACACTGGCACGTGCCACAATGTGGTGGATGTTATTAACGTAACTATTACGGAAGGCCGGGTGGCACAGTGGTAACATTTGTGCCTCACAGCAAGAATGGCCCGGGTGACCTGCTGAGTTTATATCTCCCTGTTCCGCATCGGTTTTCTCCAGATTTTCTAGTTTCCACTCGACGCGAAAAAACCACTGACAATTTAACCAGGGGATACCAAACATCCCAATGCTGAAAATTACTTCCGAAATTGAAAGTAAAATTGGCCCCTACCCTGAAACTACTGCACACTGTGTTTGTGAAACATAGCGCCTCTCTCCACAATAGCCTTGTGCTACGAGAGCCATATTCAGTCAGGGCTCCAGCCGGCTTTAGTTGTGACTATGAATATTAATTGGCCGAAACATCTTTACATAAAAAGGATTTCAGAGCTTGGGAAATTGTTGGCACCAGCTCACTCCATGTATGTGGATCCTCATGCATCTCAATAGTTCTGTCTTTGAGAGTGAGCCAATAGTGTGCATGGTATTATAAGTCTAAATTATGAATGATGATATTCAATTGTCGACTCTCTTTGCAGCGCCATTGATAATAATTTCCAGTTGAGGGAGATAAAAATCGGGATCATACTTCAGGAGAGTGACACCGACGACTCCAACATCATCAAGATGTTGGATTGGTTCCAGTTCAGGAAGCACTACACCATCGTCTTGGAGCTGTTGAGGTACGTACCAAGTGTCAGTTGCATTGATGTGCTCTTGCGACCATTTGTCGTTATAAAATTGTGGAGCTACCATGAGTCTTGGAGGCTCAACTGGGATACATGTTGAGCTGGCAGCCATTCGCTTTTCTCTGACAGCCCTGCCCCGATTTGACATAGCCACGCCCCCTCCTCAATCAGCAGGATGGCAGCGCAGTGGTAACGCCTGTGTCTCACAGCAACAAGGCCCTGTGGATGACTTCCAACTGATGCGCCTATAGGCATGCAGTTTGTATGTTTCTTCCACTGCTGTACAGAGTGTGCATGATTGTGTGTGTTGAGTGAGTTAGTGCATGTGTGAGGGAGGAGGTTTGAGTGTGGAATGAATATATTCTCTCCCTGTTCTGCATGGGTTTCCTGTGGGTTCTCGGCTATCTTCAACATTTTGGTGGCGAAATTTTAACGACCTCGCTTTGGTATACAGGAAGTTGTGGGTTCGATCCAGAGCCTCTATATTTGGCGTGTGCATGTTCTCCCCATGGTCGCCTGGATTTTTATCCGGGTTCTCAGGTTTTTCCCTCCACGTTTAGAAACAAGTGTTTAGGGTATTTGGCTGCTCTAAATTTCCCCATTATAAGTCACTTCGTTGAGGTATAATTTGCGGCCAGATCGCTTCTGAAAAAGCGCGATACAGCTCAGTGGGCCTTACCTGGTAAAATAAAAAAGTTTATAGTTTCTAATAAATACCCAATTTGACTGTGCTTGGTCAAGCATACCAATGCTGAAAATTACTCCATTAGGATAACACACAGAAGAAACATCGCCCCCACTGCTGCGAAAACTTGGTAGGACCCTCTTGAAAAAAAGTCTTGATGTCCTGTGTAAACGAGCGTAATAATTCATTGTTATATGAACCAGAACTTCACAGAATGACACTGACTTTGTATTGTTGCCTCTTTCACAGTGGAACTTTGGATGATTGGATTGGTAACAGGAAAGCCAAGTCCCTTCGGATGGAGATGGTGAAAATCTACACCAAGGGGATCCTCACGTCCCTACGTCACATCCATTCAAAGACAATCATTCACGGTGACCTCAAGCCTGTGAGTGGACAGATTGTTCGGTGCAACTTCACTGTAAACCTTTGTTGTTTTTGGAGACTAACCCTGGAGAAAGCACCAGCCACATTGAGCAATGGGTTTTAATGCATTAGCTTTGATTACCTGTCTGGGATGAGCGGGTTGGGGGGGGGGCACGGTAACACTGGTAAAGATCATCCAATGTGAAGTCGACTTTGCCCAAAGTTGTGTTGCTATGAGTGGCTTGCCTGAGAGAAAAAAAGACTCGCAGATACTAAGCAGGACAAAAAATCACTCCAGTAATATCCTGATTTATGTCTTCCCCTTTTACGTTGTTTCGATATTCGTTGGACCTCGACGTAAACTGGGGTATTACTGTTTTCAAATATACAAACACATTTTTGAATCAGAATCAAAAGTAAATTTCCAAATTAAAGGCCATTGAGGTAAGCTCGTTTTCAAGGGCGACTCATCAGCTTCCAAATGGCTCACAAAATTCTTGCCAAGACAAATGCGTGGTGGTAAGTGTTACCGAATCCATGTGTGTGCATGGTTTTTCCTAACTCGCTTGCACTAGCAGCTATAGCTTCTTTAGGGCCTCTCTTTACACGCAATGAGCAACTTACATCGCATCATCTCACTTCCAGTGGCAGCTGTCAGGAAACATATCCTAATATCGCTGCGACTAACCTTGGGGACAGTCACCTAGTCCGACTCCCTTTTTAATATATATTGGCGTATTTTGGTACATGCCAATGGACTGCTGGCTGAATGCTGTTATAACCTCTGTGAATCCCTTCTGTTCATCTAGGAAAACATATTGGTCAAGGACTGCGTGGCAGGGACCATAAAGGTCACCGACTTTGGACACAGCTTCGTTGAGGGTTATCAAAGTGAGTGGCCTCACCCGGGTGAGGGAGTGAGATTGCTAGTAGCGGTTAGTGCTCTGTGCTACGGACCCGGCGATTATCTGAACTGCTCCTGGGCCTCCCCTAAGTCAACTCAGTCTCAAATGAATACCTGGTGCGAAGTGTAAAGATCACGACTGGGGAGACCAAGGCGGTAGGGCGTGGTGCTGCTGGCCACCCACCCCTCGTATCACGCCGGCCTTCATAAGTGCTTGCTAATAGCACTTGTCTCAAAAGCTTGTTACACCTGTGCCTGTGTGTGTATACACACGTGACCTGTGTGGGGGTGATGACTTGTGTGTGATGATGCTGTTAAAGGTGATATGGGGATCTTTGTGATTCGCAGCCTCCTTGATCTTCGGTACCGTCAAGTACATGTCTCCGGAGGGATTCTTGGGCTACTCGTCCACCAACTCGGTTGACATGTGGGCTCTGGGATGCACGGTGGCGAAGATAGCAACCGGAAAATCCATCTTCGAACCCATAAACTTCTACGATCAGTTGGTGTGCTGCATGGAGGTACTGCCCACACAGCAGCACTTCACTCTTGATTCATAATACATTCTTGACCAAGTAACGATTTGGTCATCCGTGCAAGCACTTAAAGCGCCACTTGTAGTTTAAGCTCACCCACCACCAGTAAGTTGAAGAGCAATTCTCCAAATTAAGTCTAGTAATGAGAAACATTTCCCTTGAAGCTACATCCAGCACATTCAGGACCATAACGTGTGCACACAATGGCCTACTCTTTTCGAATAACGTCATGGGGTCTTTAACATCTGCTGCGAATATAGCAGACGGCACGTACAACTTTACGGTTTGTACATCGCAAGTAAAAATTGGGCGGCCAGATCTGAACCAGGAAACTCTGCAACGGGAGGCAGATGTGCTACTGCTGGGCCATGCCACGACCACTACCCTGCACCTGTGGGTGAACCGTGGGGAGTAGTAGCGTAGTGGTTAGCGCACTGAGCTATGAACCTGGTGACCCGAGTTTGATTTCTGCTTACAGGCAACATTGTTAACAAATACCTGAACTGGACACAGGCCGACAGCGTTAAATGAGCACCTGGCGCTATGGAACCAATCCCCTAGTGTGCTGCGCTGGCCTTAATAGGTGCTCACCAACAGTACTCGCTACAACAGTCAGTTGCGTTTATATGAAGGAACTTTGTTTTTGTGTGAACCGCGTGTAGGTCCTGGGGCTGCCTCCGGACTACTTGGTGAATAATGCTCCTAAAAGAAATAAATACTTTGGTAAGTTTAAGGGACAAGCTGACTGGAATACATCTAAGGCGGGAGGGCCCAGGGCTGTTGTATCTTTGGGGGGGCCCTCTTTGTATATTAAATTCCTTCTATGCAGTTTTTACATCATGGTTCGTAATTTTCAGGCAAGGCCACGTAATGATCTGACCATTTGTGCCGATGAGATCCACCGCCACCCGACAGCCAAACAAATGAAAGTTGAACATGTAAAGCTTTTTTATGAGCCAACTGTTCTTGTTTCAGCTCAACCACTGATAAATTCTTGAACATCGATTTTCACAACCGACTTTCACCATTAAGCATCAGCAGAGATCCAGGAAATCGGCCTGAAAATCTTGTACATGTGGCAATTTGGTCTTACAGCAAAAAAAATGGCTCAGTCATTAAGTGGTCTGACCCAAAAATCAACAATGCATCATACATATTTTCCTTTGTCTTACCAACACCAATGCCAGATGATGCAAAACACTCCATTATGATTCACATTGGTTATTTGACTTATGCATTTCAAATGTGTATAAATTGTAAAGTTCAGTCTTAGTCAAAATAACTCACATTTGGCGGGCCATTATGTTAGTGTTCCAGTGTAATCCTAATGGAGTAATTTGCAGCTTCAATTTTCACATTGGCAAAACTTGGTCCGTAATGCTGGCACAAAATGGCCTACTTCACAGAATCTGTAGCGTCCACCGTGAAACAAACTGCAAATTTGTTGTGGTTAATGCACCCCTGCAGTATAACCAGGGTGGCCTGCCAGATGGTAACCACAAACTTTGGCAACAGGTGGCAAAATCGCAACTGCTGGGGTTGGGGGCCCACACAGTGTGATTGGCCCCTGGCCCTGCACCCACCTATGGACAGCCCTGCTTACAAGCAGTACATTCCTTTGCCAAATTTGGACCTTGATGCCAGCCTACTCTCGCAAAGTACGTGATAAGATCTTTAACATCCTCTATGAAGCAAACAGCGAGTATTTTTAGGGTTAACGCACCCGCAGCATTAACCAGAGCGGCCACTGAATTCGCACCGTGAACCTCTGCAACAAGTGGCAAACAATGCGCGAACGCTGGGCCATGTCACAGGAGATGAGCTCATGTGGCATTGGATGATGTGGAGCTGGTTGGACTTGCTGATGACTTTTACCAGCGGTGTTAAGATCGGTTTTGTGAAAGACGACACAAGGCAGTGCCAGGCAAGGTGCACTTTTAGGCTACCGGGCAGTTGGAGGTAATTCGCTACTCGGCAACAACGGAGGGCGGAGAAGCGGCGCTCACAATGAGCAGGGCACCGAGCGGCCAATACGCAGCAAGGTGGGGATCACAGTTTGTACATCCATCATTGCCAAAAGTGGATTACTGCTACTACTGCTGCCATTAGTTCTTGGACCCAGTGAGACAAATGTAAATCCTTCGATCGTCGTCACTCATCGCGTGTGCCGCTTGTGTCTGTACCGTCCCAACAGATGGAATGCGTCTCGTCGCATGACACCGATGCAGGCACTGGCACACCGCTGGCTGCGGGATGTTGGCACAGCTGAACCTGGGCATTCCGGGGCAGCTGCCGCCACCGCCCCCACTGCCACAGTCACTGCCCCCGCCGCCACAGTCGCTGCCAGTCGCCGCTGCCGCTGCCACCGCCACCGCCCCCACTGCCACAGTCGCCGCCCCCGCCGCTGCCACAGTCACCACCCGCGCTGCCACAGTCGCCGCTGCCACCGCCATCATCACCGCTGCCACCGTCACCACCGCCGTCGCCGCCCCTGCCACCGTCGCTGCCACTGTCGCCGTCACCACCGTCACCGTCACCACCGCCGCAACCGCTGCCGCCGTCACCGCCACCGCTGTCACCACCACCGTCGTCCCTACCGCCACTACCACCAGCAGTGACCTGGGTCCGGTCTCGCTGTGCGACAGGGAGGGCAACGCAGCCTCTACAACCTCTGTGCAACAGTAAGCCGCTTTGCGTGTTGTGTCCTGCGTGTGTGCATTTAAATGATTTAATTTCACTTTGCTTGATTACCCAGAAAAGTCTGGCTGTGTCTTAAGATACTGTGAATGTTGCGAAGCACGGTTTAAATGCACACACGGATGATCTGGAGTTGCGATGTTGTAGAGTAATAACGAACGAGCAATAAGAGGGAAATTAAATGGTTCATGTCCATTCTTTCACAGATCGAGCCCTGCACAGACCTCGCTCACCCCGGCCTCTGCGGAGAAAATGGAGGAAGAGGGGAAGGAGAAGATGGAGGTGCTGATACGGGAGACGAGCAAGCGGAAGAAACGATTTGGACTGGCTCGTGTGGGACGAGCAATCCGCTCTTTCTTCTGCCACTGGCTGCTTTGTGGTGGAGTTTCCACCGCAGAGTAGCCATGAAGGTGCCAGGGGTGATGATAGATGTGTATTAGTATCATCACCACATAGGCACACACATTTCACCCTCTTCCCACCCCAACATACACACCAGACACTACACACACACTACACACAAGGGCTGCTAGGCTGTGCTATGGCTGGACATGCAGGTTTCATAACCCAGCCAATGCAGCCTCGCTTGGTTAATCCCAGGATGGATCGGAGGAGGGCCACCCTACACATCACACACACACACTGTAAATTATTGTTATTGTAATATATACATTTTCAAATAAACTCGTAAAAATACATGAGACAATGTTGCTTTGTTTGCTAATGTAGCCTGGGTTCAATGTGTCTTGGCTTGTGTGAGGTGTCTTGGCTCACGCCAGGAGCTGGGAGTGCATTCTCAGTGTCGCTGGCTCGGTTCACGCTCTTGGTCGGTTTGAGGAGCTGAACTTGACCTGGTTAACATGGCAAACGCCTTTGTGTTGTAGTTTTTTAAGTCACCTGGCTTATTACATGTCATTTTGTTGATATCTGCATTCAAGAATCATTTTCACGAGTTCCTTCTGCAGGATTTGGCCCCCTTCTTTGATGGAAATCTCGTAATTAATTTTTGTACAGTGGTTGGTGATGCAATTATATGAATGGCGCCCGAGAAAATGTAATTATCATTTATGTAACGCGAGAACGGAATATAACACCTCGTATTCAGGACTCTTGAGCTTATTCCCTGTTGCTTGCCAAAATCAACTCTTCTGATTTGATTCACGTCATACAGATCTCATAGTTACCAAATGTATTTAAAAAATAATTCCAGGAATCAATTTATTTCCCAGACGAAGGGAAGGCAGTACGAGATTTTAAGCGTATATTACTGGAACGCGCAAGTCGCCCCCAACACTCTGGCTGTCCGTGCTATCACAAATCTCTCTCGACGAATCCGCCGCAACGCTGCAGCCCTCTGGGAACCCCCGCGAATCCAGGAAAAGTCGCCTTCCCATTTGCCAGGACCACAATAATGTCCCTCGTCATCGCTTGAAGTCACAAGCCCATTTGGACCCCATGCACTTAACCTAGAAAGATGCGAGTTTAACCCCGATGAAGTTTGGAGAGCTGAATAGAGTTGAAAAGAACTCACAAACACCTTGTTGTAAAAGACTCAACACAGAAAATCCCTGGTTTTGATCTTCTACAAAGCTCATGGTCCACCCTAAATGGCATCCATACAAACCAAGGCCGATGCGGATACCTGATGCACAAATGGAAAACTCTCCAGTGTGCGACTGCGGTCATCCAGAACAAACCGTCCACAAGTACGAAGGAGACATCGCCGCGATACGCTCCGCTGCTCCTGACGAGGTTATCACTTGGATGTGAAATTGTTACTCGGCATCTACGTCAGCCAATACGAAAGGAGTGTGTATATCAAAAATGATCCGTCAAACTTTTGGCAACAAAAATCGCTCATTACACAGCTGCATAAAGTTTACAATATGTAATTAAACACACAATCATGACTCTTTGGTTCTATTTGGTAAAGTCACGTAGGTAAAACAACAAAAATCACGACGTTTCGGCCACAACACAAGCGGCCTTCATCAGGTGAAGGAACCATGAAGGCCGCTTGTGTTGTGGCCGAAACGTCGTGATTTTTGTTGTTTTACCTACGTGACTTTACCGAATAGAACCAAAGAGTATGGATCCTTGCAGTCACGAAAGCTTCAAATCTAGAACACAATCATGACCTTGTAATACAAAAAAAAAGATCCCCCATTTAGCCTTAACAGACTGTGGTGGCAAGTGCTGTTAACACGCATGATGGCCCACACGGAACACGAGGGGATGGGTGGACAACACTTTGCATGGCCGCCTTTGTCTCCCCAGTGCCGATGTTGGCACACCGCACAAGGCCCTCAATTACGGCCGAGTTCATCTAAGGAAAGGCCCAGGACCGGTTCAGATAAACGTCACTGGTGTTGGCCGTGAGCATCGAACTGGTGTCGCTATACTCTTTGGTTCTATTCGGTAAAGTCACGTAGGTAAAAAATAAAACAACAAAAATCACGACGTTTCGGCCACAACACACGCGGCCTTCATCAGGTGAAGGGACCAGACTGTCTCGAGGACAGCGCTGGAGTGAAACACAGCCACGCTCAGACTGCGACCTTTAAGCTGTGTGCGAGGAAACAAGGTGCCTTGACAAAGGAATTAGCATAAAAATTAGCATTTGATTGGCCGACTTAGCATGATGAACGGTGTAGAGGTGGTGTACATGCGGGTGAACATGCCGGTTGGCGAGGGGGGGAGGGGGAGTTTACCTATTGATGGTGTGAAAAGGGAATTTTTAAGAGCTGCGAAAGTTTGGGGTACCACTACTTGAAAAATATACTGTACCATGGAAAATTAGTTTAATGTTTGGTTCGATTTAGAACATCTTTCCAATGGTTGCTTAATTTGAAACCATCTTCTCGGTTGAAATTGTCTGTGTTTGTAGACCTGAATTGCCTTGTGAATAAATCTCTGATCAAAAAACCCGTGGGTTTGCAAAGAACCTTGGTATCGGAGAAAATTATATCGTGATCACCCACAGCGTTGTAACAGTGATCAGCTACGGTAGAAGAATTCGTTCTGCCGTGTTTCAAATCTGATTTGTGCTCGCCAATTCGGTCAGAGACATATCGCTTTGTCTCCCCGATATAGTCATCCTCTCAGCCGATAAAGGCAACGCTACTGTAATTATGGATACAGATTCATACAACAAAATCCAGAATCTGCTCAACGATGGAAGTTACTCAAAAATAAAAAATGACCCTACCAATAGCCTAGCGATAAAAAACAACAAGATAACCACAAGTTCGACCTCCCTAATTGACCCAACTAAACGTCCCTCCCTAAAAACTTCTGCTGCAAGACCCCCTAGATTATATGGTCTTCCCAAGATTCATAAAGAAGGCACCCCACTACGACCCATCGTATCCACGATCAACTCCCCTACCTATAGACTAGCCCGTTTTCTGTCAGATACCTTGCTGTCTTTCACTGGCAAGACCGCCTCAGCAGTACTTAACTCAGCCCAATTGGCCTCTATGGTCAAAGACGTTGTACTGGTCCCTGACGATATCCTTGTCAGCTTCGATGTGGTCTCTTTGTTCACCAAGGTCCCAGTACCTGATACCATTGAAATCATTGAAAATTTGGTCCAACATGGACTAGCCCCGATACACCTGCACTGGTTAGGCACTGCCTCAACAATACCTACTTTACTTGGAATGGCTCCTTCTACAAACAAAATGAGGGTACCCCCATGGGATCCCCCTTGTCACCAGTGATAGCCAATATTTTCATGGAGAAATTTGAATCAGACGCCATCCAGACTTCCACCCTCAGACTTTCCCTGTGGAAGAGATATGTGGATGACACTTTCGTCATTTGGCCACATGGCTTCCCAGCTTTGAACATCTTCCTACACCACATCAATTCCAGACATCCCGCCATCAAATTCACCATGGAAGTGGAGAAAGATGGCAAGCTACCATTCTTAGATGTTCTGTTTGAGAGGATACCTGATGGCTCATTGGGGCATTCTGTCTACAGGAAACCCACCCACACAGATTCCTACTTGAAACCTGATTCCCACCACCACCCAGCCCAAAAGAATTCTCTCATCAAAACTTTATACCATAGGGCTCATTGCATTTCGGACCAACACCACCTGACCAGTGAATTAAAACATGTACACCTGGCCCTCAAAAGGAATGGATACTCTGACCGTACCATCCGCCAAGCTGTTTCTCCCTCCATACAGAAACAACCACTTGATACTCCGGTCAAAACCATCACACTACCATATATAGCAGGCGTTACTAAA